TCATCAGATAATTGATAGAATTTATCAATTTATTACTCCTGTGAGTGAGACCAAGAACATTTTAAAATGGACTACATATGGTGAAATGCAAAAGGCCTCAGAGACGCACCAAAAGCATGCAGTCTTTCATGCAAGCCCTACAGAATTTTTTTTTGTCCATGTCTTTGTGCAGTTTATATTTGAACCCTCTCAGTAAAGTGGCGAAGCAGTCCCTGTATGCCCGAGGTGTTCCCCGTAGCCACAGTGGCCAACGGGTCAAGGTCCTGGCTTCTGTAACTGAAGGGACAGACCTCTCTGAGAACTGGCGGAACATTCTCAGTGTTATACGAGAGAACTCCTCATCCTGGGATCAGCAGCATGTCATACAGCAACTAAAGGTATATACATACAGTACAATGTAAATGTAAAAATGTACATAAAACATGTCATTTAAAAAAGGATTCATACTGTGTGGGTTTTTAAAAGCCTGTTTTTTTTAAATAATAGGTTAAGCTCAGTATTTTTAAGATACTTGTGTTTAAGTGTTTATAAACAAGACATGAGAGACCAGCCAGCTGGTGTTTTTCACCTGCAAACATCGTCCCACCACTTTATTAAATCTAGGCCAATCCATTCCACATTTATAGGTTGTGTAAGGCAGAAGCTAACAGCAGCCGATGTTTTGCTTTTTATTTTAATTTCTACTAGCACCACATAATATTTTTTAAAGGCACCAACTACACATGTAGTTCTGCTTCCAACAATGCTCCAGGCTGAACCACGTTTTGGTGGACCAGGGTCTGCATACAACCTGAGTCCACCATAGCCCAGCATGTACCCCTTGGCACTCAACTCAACTATCCAATCCAAAAACAACACAAAAACTATTTTTGTTTTCTTTTTTCCTATTTCTGTTGTGTTTTGTGTGCTTTTGCAGCATTTTTCTTATTGCTGGTGTTTTCTTAAGTTGCAGTCCGTTTGGCCTCTCTGGGCCACCGTAGAGGAGGACAAAAGGTTCAAACTTGTCCAGGCCTTAAACCTCATGTGCATTCTTCCTAGTAGTTGCACATCCATAAAAATAAGGCTTTTATGAAAACACTGAATACAAAATTGCTTTCTTGAGAAAGACTCAATTTATAGTTGACTATTAAATTTTGCATAAAATAAATTTTACAAAGTATCTTTGAATGGCAGAGATGCAGAAATGTCTGCAGAGCCATGGCTCAGTGTCTGACTGTCACAGACCTAAATTTATGCCCATTTATATTTTTTAAATTGTTTACATTTGGACTTTTATTGTATTTTCATAAGTTTTACTGCTTTTAATTAAGCAATAAATACCGCTGCGCAACAGTAATTTAGCATTAAACAGTTAACCTGTTGAACCCCAATGGTCCTGGTACCAAAGGGGAGAGGGAGAACATCAGGTTTAATGGGATGTACCGCCAGATCTATTGTTTAAATAAAGACATGTGTGATATCCACAGAAATGTCAGAATCTCAGCTAAAAGCTCACAAAACCATTTCAAAAACCACAAAACGGGTAAAACAGCAAACAATTAAAAAGCAGGCAAACAGATTCTGCAAAAGGATGTACTCGCGTTTGTCTGTGTTCACTTGACGGCCAAGGACATGTGGTTGAGTGCTGACAGATTCTAAAACTGCAAGATTTATCACTCGCCAACCAAAATTCACTGAATAAGCAGCAAAAGAAGATGAAAACTATACTGCACATTTGAAAAAACATTGTAATTCCCTTGTACTTTTACTGTCTTGGTTCCACCACAATAAAATTGCACTTTCTGCAGAGCTGTACCTCTTAGCATGCTTCGAGACCAGTTT